GCTGCCCGGGGGGGGGGGGGAGGGGAAGTGGAAGGGGAAAGAGAGGGCTGCTCCGTGAGGGGGGAGGGGGAAAGGGAGAGTTGCTCTATGTGGGGAGGGGAGAAAATGGGAAGCAAAAAAAAGGATACTGCCAGAGCCGCCCAGCCAACCTGCCTCCCCTCATGCCAGGGGAGAGAGTCACACAGGTGAGTTCCTTCCCCCACTTCTATCCCCTCCCCTTCCCAGAGACCCCAGCAGCCAATCCCCTCTGCTCCGTGAGGGGGGAGGGGGAAAGGGAGAGTTGCTCTATGTGGGGAGGGGAGAAAATGGGAAGCAAAAAAAAGGATACTGCCAGAGCCGCCCAGCCAACCTGCCTCCCCTCATGCCAGGGGAGAGAGTCACACAGGTGAGTTCCTTCCCCCACTTCTATCCCCTCCCCTTCCCAGAGACCCCAGCAGCCAATCCCCTCCCTCAGACTGTGTTGCAGGCAGCGCATTTGGCTCTCCCTAGGACCGAGCAGCCCTGCTGTTGCATGCTCACTGTTTTCCGTTCCTTCTGGCAGAGTGGTGCCCGGAAATACTGGTGCCCTACACAACTGGGTGCTCTGTGTATGCCTAGGGACGGCCCTGGTCACATGGGCAGTGGGGAAGGGGATACAGAGATACAGGAGAAGGGGATGACTGAGTGGGGGCACAGAGATACATGCTTTTCCTCCTTCCTGGTCCATGAGGAAAACATGGGAGGAAGCCAATGTTCTCCTTCTCTCCCTCAGCCAGTAGAGAAGGATTAACAGTGGCAGGCCAGAGAGGAGACAGATCCTGATCTGCAAGATGAGCAGCCTGCTGTGTTGGTAAGGAGGCTCCTTTTTCTTTGGCCCAGCAAGAAAGTGAAAGCCAGGGTTAGAATGACAAAGGCTATATTATTGCTGGCTACCGAATATCCTGACCCTGGAGCTGCTGCAACAGCAACAGGGTCTGATACTTCCATGCCCCCAGCTAGGATTTCTTTCGCTGGTCTGAACTGCCCCTCAATTGGAAATTGTGGTAGGTGGATACAGCTTTTGGCCACTGTCCTCAGATTTTCCACTGTGTGGAGTATGGCCTTGGTCCAGTCAAGTGGATTTGGGCAACAGAACCATATACTCACCCTGGCTCTTAGAGGTCTGAATGAAGCTCTCCCTGGATGTGGTTGGGTGGAAAGTAATTCAGGGCTGGTCTGAACTGCCCCTCAATTGGAAATTGTGGTAGGTGGATACAGCTTTTGGCCACTGTCCTCAGATTTTCCACTGTGTGGAGTATGGCCTTGGTCCAGTCAAGTGGATTTGGGCAACAGAACCATATACTCACCCTGGCTCTTAGAGGTCTGAATGAAGCTCTCCCTGGATGTGGTTGGGTGGAAAGTAATTCAGGAGCAGACTGTATTTATATGAACACATCTATTCTGCCTAGGTAGTCAGCAGACACAGCTGTGATGCCAAAGTGATCAATTTTGGCTATTGGGCTACACATCACTTTGTATGTAGAGGTAACTAAATGTTGTTGTTCTGATTGTGTGAGTAAAGAGCAGCAGAACTGTACTTAGCACACCCAGATTTGGGGGGTGGATCACCCTTAGCTGAACTACACTGGCTGAGCAGAGGTAGGGATGCCAAAACCCAGTGAGATGAGAGAGTGTGGGGATAGGTGCTCCTAACTGGTGGTGTAGGCTTTGCCCAAGAGTCCTAGATGTCATTAGACTCTCCCCTCTCCACTGCTTGAAGGCAGCTGGTTAGATTCAGTTGATTCCTTTGTGTTGTTAAGCGATCACTAGAGCTGAAATCACTAATCACTAGCTCTCAG